TTATTGTGCCGCCGGGCTCCATTTCGAGCGTCAGCATCTTCCACGGACGAGTGCAAGCGTCCATAGTGCAGGACTTTTCTCCCAGTTGAAGTGTCCGACGCCATCAGAAGAGCATCGCGGAGGGTAGCGACTGGCGCGCCGCTTTCAAGAGGGCGGCAACAGCTGAAGGGCTAAGGCGCGGAAGGGCGGGCAAGCGTCAGTCCTGCGGGTGCTTAGTGACGCAGCCGTCGCCATGGCCAAGTATTCTCAGATTGGGCTCTAACTCTGCGGCCGCGAGGCGCCGAAAACTGACGTTGGCTCTCGTCCTCATCTCCAGATACCCACGGACGGGCGACTTCGTGATTGGAGTGCAGCAACCGAAGTCTGGGCCCCTGGAAGAGTTGTTAGTTCTCAGCACGGAGAGCCCGAGGGTTCCTGAGGACACTCCGCACACACAGCGCCTGGCGCTTCGGCGGCGGACCTTGCGCAGATGGAGAACGCGTCGTGCCAAGCCTGGGAGGGCGCAGTGAACGCTCAGCGCGTGCCACTACTCTGATTCCCCATGTGTCATGCCGCGTCCGCATGTGTTCTACAGTGTCTAGCGTACCCAGCGCCTGCGCGCCCAGCGGCGGCATTCCGGCCTGTGCTTCGCAATGGGAGAAGTCGTTTGGCCAGCTTGAGACGTCCAAGCGGATAGTTTATCACCGCCCGCCACGTGGATCTCCAACTCAGCATGCCGGTTCCGCACGCAATGTTCGCAGATTCATTGGCAAAGGGCAAAGGGCGAGTGCCTGAAATTTGGCTTGCCACCGTCAAATCAGAAGTCGAGGCGACCCTCCAGGCAGATTGAAGGAGGTTTTCGCGCACGTGCTTTGGTAATCCGATGGTTGCCGCGCAGCCCAAATGCCGAATGTACACATTGGGGTGGAGGGGTCAACACACCTTCCCGTCACAAGTCCTTTCCTTATCGATCCGTCGAAATATGACTTGCTTCCGCTTGCGGAACGTGCCAGACCTGCCAGTCAGCCTAAAGCCCAGATTTGAACACGAACCCGTTCTCCATCCTTCGCCCTTAGTGGGCCCTGGAAACGACAGGGCCGTTTTTTTACCGGTTCCGTTTTGCCGTTTTTTTGCCGGTTCTGACGCCGTTGTTTTACCGGTTCCGTCGCCGTTTTTTGACCGGTTCCGGTTCCGGTTCCAATCCTGGAGCTGTTTTTTCGCCGTTTCCGGTCGCCGTTTTTTTGCTGCTTCCATTTTCAAAGGACATTTTTTGGGGAAACGGTGAAAAACCGGCCCTGCCGTTTCCGGGGCCCACAAAGCCTTCGCCATACGAAACGCAAAGAGACGGGAAATGAGCCGGCCCCCTCCGTGGACGTGTGGCACAAGCTTGCAAGTGGCTGGCCATCGAGGAATGTGTAAATTATCGACCGGGGGGCCATTCTGAGAAGGTGCATCTCGGGGGCGGAAAAGAGGGGGGTGATGACTAGCGGGGGGTGGATATCATGGCGGGGGCCATGATATCTCCCCAGATTTCATGGCGCTTCCTCTTATTTCATTACGTCCCTGGCCCCCCCGCTGGGCCGCGCACATGCCGCCGGTCATGATTTGCATCCCCCCCTCTTGGACACCCCCCTCTTGGCCGCTCCCGAGCATCCCTGCATCCGTGGAGTTGTTGGCATGCTGTTTGTGTCCACGTGCGCGGCGCGAAGGCGAGGGCCACACTTTGAAGACCAGTCGTGCCCCATCCGTGCAGCAGTTGCAGGGGCTTTTAAGACGAACGCGTGTGTGCGCGGTGGGAGTCTGAAGAGCTTCAGGACGGAAGCCGTATTTTCAGAAGGCACCGCCCTCAGGTGTCGAGTTGTTCAGACGGATGTGCGCGGTGCTACCCAGGTGAAACGTACTCTTTGAAAGCCGACCGTCCTCCATCCGTTCAGCTGCCCGAGTCCCCCCGTTTGATCTGGCCATCGGTTCCTGTCTGAGCGGTGTGATAATCATCAACGCCGTCACCAGCACCGTCATCATCATCACCATCATCATCATCATCCTCATCCTCATCCTCAGCAACAGCAGCAGCATCATCACCGTCGTCGTCATCGTCATCATCATCATCATCATCATCATCATCATCATCATCATCATCATCATCATCAGCATCATCATCAGCAGCATCATCATCGGCAGCAGCAGCAGCGTGAGCATGGTCCTGGTCATGGTCATGGCCATGATCGTCCTCGTCACCGCCAGTGCCCAGTGCCAGCAGCAGCAGCAGCAGCCTCCGCCCCCTCCGCCTCCCGCGAGACGGGCGGCGGCACGACGGACTGGAATTGAGGCCGTCTGCGCCCGGGGCCCTGGCGTCGGCAGCGGCGCGCACCGAGCGCGGCGCGCCGGCCCGAGGCAACGAGCGGACGCTGGCCTTCTGGCGGCAGGCGGGGCGGCCTCCCCCCCGCGGTGGCCGGCGTGTCTCCTCGCCGCCGGCGCTCGGCCAAAGAACTGAAGCAGTGGCGAAGCGTCCTGGCTCGCCTGTAGCCCTACCAAACAATTTTCTTAAGAACCTTTTCGTGGTTTCCACGAAGCGTTCTCAGAGCATTTCTGGCGGGGACTGCCGTGTTTTATCAGATGGTGTTTCTTTTCAAAGAGCATTGGTTCTGTTCTGAGAACATTTTTCTGGGCTCTAAGAACAGATCGTGGCAGGACCGTAGGAATGCCAGGGCGGTCGGTCCCTGCTCAAAGAACAAAGGACACCACCCCACCTGCGGCCCTCCATGGTGCGCTGCGGCCCCCTCGGGCGCCGCAGCATGCACACCACGCAGGAGCCCACGCCAGATCTCCGGGTGTGCGCTGAGCTCCGTGGGGCCGCAGGCGGGGTGGTGCCGTTCGTTTTCTGGTCCAGGCGAGGGGCCCGACCGAGGACCGAGGATCGACGTTTTGGGGCGCTTCTGGATCGAGGGTCGACGGTCGAGGATCGACGCTTTCGGGCGCTTTCGGGCGTTTTTAGAGGCCTCCCCTGGGGCTCCTCGTCGCCGCGGCTGGATTTCCTCCGGAAGTCTGCCCACAACGCACCCTGGGAGGGTCCTGGGCTTGATTTTTCACCCGCTGGCCGAGACCCCCTCGCGTCATGGGAAAAAACACGACCAACGGTTGTTTGACATTTTTTGGCCTGCGGGGCTCTTCACTTGACCCCAGGACCGCCAGAAAACAGCTCGAGATGAAACACTTGTCCTGAGGAGCTGGCCGAGGCCTCTGAGGGCACACGTGGCACAATAATCTCGACGTTGGGAGCAACTCGGTGTGGATCCGGCCTCCCGGGGAGGGGGGGCAGCTACCAACTCTCCCAATCAGTGCAATTAGGGTTGTGGGTAAGATGTGGGGACATGTAGAGTCGCTTGGGGACCTTCTGGGGCTCTCTTGTAGCACCCTTGGGGCAATCTTGGTAATCCTTTGGGGGAGTCGAGTCGTGTTGTATTGTCTTGGGGCCGTGTTGGGAAGTTTGGGGGCGTCTTGCTGCGTTCGTGGACCGTGTTGGAGCCATTTTAGGGTTGTCTTGAAAGCCAGCTGGGAGACTCTGAGATAATTCAAAGCCATCTTGGGAGGCATGTTGGGTTGTCTGAGGGCGTTCTAGAGGCCTCGTAGGCCTTCTCAGAGGCGTCCAGAAGCGGCAAGGCGAGATAGCTCAAAGCATTGAACACTCTCAGCCTCAGCTGGTCGTTTATGCCTCTGCGTGTACGGGCTCAATTCTGGGACGTCTCTGGGTGTTCTTGGGATCTCCCAGGGCGTCTCTCGTTCTTCCTGAGGACTCCTGGGCGTGCTGAAGCTCTTCTGCAGCGTCCGCAGGGCACCTTCTGCATCTTGGAGGCGTCTGCTTTTGTATTCATAGAGGCGCTGAGGGCCCATGAGATTCGCAGAGGGGCTCGGACCCCGGGGCCAAGGGGAACCCGGGGGGATAGGGACAGGCAGCTATCTCGCACGCCTACGTCCGCCCCGGCAGGCGGGGGACGGCGGATGCTGTCCTTCGGGGGCTGCTCGAGGTGTCCCTGGACCATGGGTAGGGGAGCGAACCATGACATAAACATAAAAACTCGGAGGTCCGCGCGGATTTCCTGGATCCGCGCTGGACGCCCCTCCCTGGCGCGCGGAGTGCGCCAGGGGCGGCGCCGGAGGCTCCGCCAGGGGGGCCCAGCGCGGATCCGAGAAATCCGCGCGGACCTCAGATTTTTTATTCCCAACCCTCCTTGGTTGGGTATTCGTTTCGAATACGGGACTGTGGTCTCCACCTTCCTTCCTCCCGCCTCCCTCCCTCCTCCTGCGTCCTGCTTCCTGCTTTATTCCCAACCCTCCTTGGTTGGGTATTCGTTTTGAATAGAGCACTGCTCGCGCGTCTCCTCCCGCCTCCCTCCTGCCTCCGGCCTGCCTCCTCCTGTCTTGCCTGCGGGGGGCTGTGATCAGTGAAACTGTCGCTACTTTCGAGGCCTGCTGGGGGGCCCAGCACAGTGACGCCACGCGCGGACCCAAATTAGACCTCGCCATCCCTGGGGGGCTGCGATCTGTGAAACTGTCGCCACTTTCGAGGCCTGCTGGGGGGCCCAGCACAGTGACGCCACGCGCGGATCCAAATTAGACCTCGCCATCCCTGGGGGGCTGCGATCTGTGAAACTGTCGCCACTTTCGAGGCCTGCTGGGGGGCCCAAGGACTGTCGCCATCCCTGGGGGCTGCGATCTGTGAAACTGTCGCCACTTTCGAGGCCTGCTGGGGGGCCCAGCACAGTGACGCCACGCGCGGACCCAAATTAGACCTCGCCATCCCTGGGGGGCTGCGATCTGTGAAACTGTCGCCACTTTCGAGGCCTGCTGGGGGGCCCAGCACAGTGACGCCACGGGCGGACCCAAATTAGACCTCGCCATCCCTGGGGGGCTGCGATCTGTGAAACTGTCGCCACTTTCGAGGCCTGCTGGGGGGCCCAGCACAGTGACGCCACGCGCGGACCCAAATTAGACCTCGCCATCCCTGGGGGGCTGCGATCTGTGAAACTGTCGCCACTTTCGAGGTCTGCTGGGAGGCCCAGCACAGTGACGCCACACGCAGATTCAAATTAGACCTCGCCATCCCTGGGGGGGCTGCGATCTGTGAAAGTGTCGCCACTTTCGAGGCCTGCTGGGGGGGGCCCAGCACAGAGAGGCCACACGCAGTCCCAAATTAGACTTCGCCATCCCTGGGGGGCTGCGATCTGTGAAACTGTCGCCACTTTCGAGGCCTGCGGGGGGGGGCCCAGCACAGTGACGCGCTACGCGGATCCACAATAGACCTCCGTATCCTTGGGCCGGAGGGGCTGCGGGTCAGGAGGAGGCGGCGGAGTCGGAGGAGGAGGAGGAGGAGGAGGAGGAGGAGGAGGAGGAGGAGGAGGCGAATGAGGAGCAGGGCGTTCGCCGCTTGCCTGGGACGTCGTCGGCGTCGTCGCCGCCGTCGTCGTCGTCATCGTCGTCGTCGTTGCCGCCGTCGGCGTCGTCATCGTCGTCGGCGTCGTCATTCTCGTCACCGTCGGGTCGCCGACGTCGTCGCCGTCGCCGTCGTCGTCGTTGAGTCGTCGTCACCGTCGTCGTCATTATCGTCGTCATCGTCGTCGTCACCGTTGTCATCGTCTCCGTTGTCGTCGTCGTCGTCGTCATCGCCGTCGTCATCCTCGTCGACGGTGTTGTTGTCGTCGTCGTCGTCGTCGTCGTCGTCGTCGTCGTCGTCGTCGTCGTCGTCGTCATCGCCGTCGTCGTCGTTCTGGGACCTCGCCGCAGACTCAAGTTAGACCTCGCCATCTCTCGGGGGCTGCGATATGAGATCCCCGCTTTCGAAGTGGCTAGGGGTGCTCAGGGATTGTAACTAATCAGCTTTCTCTAGCCCTTGTCCTGTAGCCAGTGTCCTGCGAGTCTCCCGAATTCCGTCTGCAGACACATGTAACCCTCGCTCCGTCATCGCCCCCCTTATAAAGTGTCCTAAACTATTTGCACCACGCGTTTGCGCAGGGGTTGGGTACGTCGCCAGGGTACTGTTCATGTCACTTGTTGTTCCCCTATAAAGGTGTCCCTGGACCACAGGTGCCCCTGGCTCGTCGCTCCGCTTTGGAGGCCCTGGGAGGATGGGTGCTCCTGGAGTGCTTCTGGGGGCCTCCTCGGAGATCTCGGGGACGCCTTTGGCCGGGGGCTCTTATGGCAGCATCCGGGTCCGATCCTCCTTTCGGCTACGCGTCAGAGTGACCCTTCGCCCAGATGGCCTTGTCAGTGCGGGCCCAGCTGGGGCCCCCTGATCGCCAAATGCGATGCGATGGCAGCGGCTTGCGCACCTGGTGGTGTCCCCACAGGGCCTCCGTTGGTTTAGGCCTCCTAGACAGGGTCCGAGTGCAGCGAGCGGCTTGAGTAAGGAACACTTACTTTTCAAAAGGGGCTCGGTCGTTCCTTAGGTTTGCATGCGTTATTTGCAGTTCCTTATGCATTATGTGTTATTTATCGTTCCTTATGCGTTGTTCCTTGGGATAAAAAAAGGGGCTTCGTTCCTTATTTATCGTTCCTTAGGTCAGGCCGATGACTGTAGATGCGGTCGGAGGATCGCTCCGCATCGCCGATGCATAGCCGATGCGGCTCGATGTGGAGCCCGACTTCCTCCATGCCGACGTCGCCGATGCATCACCCACGTCGACGATGCATCGCCGGTGCATCGCCGGTGCATCGCCGACGCACCGGCGATGCGGCGCGATCCTCTCGGGGGAGCGTAAGACCCGGGTTTGCCGGGACTCGGGTTCGCCATCGTTTTTTGACGACCGCGACTCGGATTTTGACGAGGAGGAGTTTTGTGGGATGTCTGCAGCGGGAGGCCTCGTCAAAATGCAGGCTCGGCCTCGTCATTTTTTTGACGACTTCGTCGGGGATTTCCGAGTCCCCCGTACCCGGGTCTTACGTCTCCCCGATCCTTCGACCCCACGTACTCCGACCCCATCCAGGAGCCCTCTGCTGGGGCCGCGCACCCAGGGCCAGCCTTGCCCAGGGCCGCCCTCGCGTGTGAGCCGGCCCTCGCCCTCCTCGCCCTCCTCCGTGTACGAGTTTTTTTCTTGTCGTTTGTCCCGGGAGGGGGGGCCATCGGGGGGGGGGCGGAGGGCCCTCGCCGCCGCAGGCGGTCGCGGCTCCCGAGGGTCGGGGTCTCCCAGGTGGGTGTCCCTCTACAGGAGGAGTACTCAAAAGTAGTCAAAAAGCAGTCCAGGGACGCTGTCTTGTTTAGTATTGTTGAACATGTTTGAAACATGTTTTGACTATGTTTTTAGTGTTTCGTCCAAAATCCGCCTGTAGGAGGACATGCCCGACCTGAGAGTACAGTCGGGGCGCCGAAGAAGGAAGCCCATTCGTTGGTGAGGGGCTCGGTGTTCCTCGATTGCTGTACAGTTTGCCTTATAGGTTTTCCTGAGGTTTCCCATGGGACATCGGAGTTTGACTTCTGGGGAAAAGAGGCTTCGTTGCTTATTTAGGGCTCCTTAGGTCAACGCCCCGACGGTAAGCCCGAAATCGGGTTTGCCGAAGTTTTTTGACGAGCGCGCCTTGGAGCTTGGCGGTCTGGTTTGTTCGTGGGATGTCTGCAGCGGGAGCCCGCGTCAACTTTCAGATTGGGTCTCGTCATTTGCATGATGGCCCCCGTCAGGCCAACCCGAGTCCCCCGAACTCGAGTCTTCCGTCTCCCCGAAGATGGTGTCGGAGGATCGCGCCGCGTCGCCGATGCATAGCCGATGCGGCTCGATGTGGAGCCCGAGATTCTCCGCGCTGAGGCTGGCGTCGCCGATGCACCGCCGACGCGTCGCCGACGCATCCCTGGTGCATCGGTGATGCGGCGCGATCCTCCGACCTCATCTGGTCGGTTCCCGTCAGGGGGAGGACCCCAGAGGGGCGTGCGTCGACTCCCTGGGGGCTTGAAGGCCTGTATACAAGTGGCCTGCGGCGATCAAGCTCGACACATCGAGGCAGATCCACGAGACAAGGGGCACATCCAGGCAGACCGAGGCCAAGCCAAAGATGTCCAGGTCCGCCTGGACACCGAGGCGTGGAAGCTCCCGCGCGAAGCCGGGGACGGCAGACGTCGCTGAGCCCTTGGCGACTGGCATCGAGGCGCCGTGGAAGAGAGGCGGGGCGGAGGTTTTCTTCCCCCCCGCGTCGGGCCGTGGGATCTCAGGACTCTGTGCTCCTCCCCCTCCTCCTCCTCCCCCTCCTCCTCCTCCTCCCCCTCCTCCTCCCCTCCTCCTCCTCCTCCTCCTCCTCCTCCTTCTCCTCCTCCTCCTCCTCCTCCCCCCCCCTCCTCCTCCTCCTCCTCCTCCCCCCCATCCTTGACCATCTGCGCGGCCGCGTCGCTTCCTCGTCAGACCGTGCAGCGTGCAGGCTTGCCGCAACTTGGATGGCTGGAGGAGGCATGGGGGGCAGTGGCCCAACGGACTGGCAGAGCATGGGCCGACCGGCAACACGCGCGCATAGAGGACGAATCTGACCACGAGTATTGAGCAGTTCTTTCAGTGCCCAGCCCAGGTGCTTTCTGACGAGCTCATGCACCCCAAGATGGAAGGATGTCCACCGTACACGGATCAGCGCGGTGCTCAGAATCTTTGGCTTGGGAACTGTGATTCAGCAGCTCGGCCCGCCTGTCACGGGCATGCACGCCAGATCTCGTACACAGAACTTGGGTGCTCGAGCTCGCATTTACAGCGCTTCAAGTGATCGTCCAGAGGACACATGCGTTGCAGGCCCTCGTGTGCTAAGATTGGTATGTGTGACCTTTTCCTGAGTGAGCTTCGCTCTTTCGCTCCCCCTGCTTCCGCCTTTGCGCACAAAGGGAGACCGCATTTGGACGTGCCATGCCGCCAAGCCGTGCTGCACACTGCATGGGGTATCCAGCAGTTCGGTCTCGACAACGTGGAGGGTTGCCCCCCTCCCCGAGTCATCACAGGCTGCCCTCTTCCTGGGTGGGAGGGCATCGCCAGCGTATGTGCGCTCAGATATTCTGCCTGGAACCATACTTTCTGCGAAAAGAGGCGTCGCCAATTCTGCGAAAAGATGGGCCTGGGATGCCTGGCTGGCTGTTTTCAGGGACGATTGATCTGCATAGTTGTGGCCAGCACCATCGTCCTGTACCAGGCATCTGCATGTCCACCACGACCGCAAGCCCCCGTCAGTCGCAGGCGTGGAACGAAATAAGTTGCTTGCATTTCTCTCCGGGTTCTTTCCTCCTCACCCTCCCTTCCAGTCACCCGTGCCTGCTGCAATGAGGTACCACGTGAACCGCGCGCTGCTGTACAAACGTGGTGCCAGTCCTCAGCGTGGCGCTTTCGGTGTTCGGTGCGCCGCGCCGACTTTGATGATGCAGCCCTGTCCACGTCGCGATGTGGTCACACTATAGGTTGACAACCGCTCGCCAGTCGGTGCGGCGTCAATCCCGCCTTCTGAAGCAGAGGGGGTGCGATGCTGGAGATAGGGCAGCACTGAAGAAATTAGGCAGTAACTCGACCTAGTTACTCCACACATCTGTATCTCTCTCGCTCTCTCTCTCACTCTCTCTCTCTCTCTCTTTCTCGTCTCACGCTCAGACGTTCGTTCGTTCCTGCCCCATTCTCTTGTGCCCTCTGGTGACTCGCTGGTTATCGCTGCCCTCCCTCTCTCTCTCTCTCTCTCTCTCTTTTTGTCTCCTGCTCGGCTTCTTTTCCCCACTTCTCTGCACCGCTTTCTATTATGCCGCCTATCCTTCGTACGATTGCTTATGTAATTCCTCATCCAATCGAGGGTGGAGATCCTGTTCGAACGAGGTGCTCCGAAACTGCCTCCCTCTCTCCGCATCCATCCTGCCTCCTCCTCCCGTCCATCGTCCATGTATTCTCCCAGCTCTGGCGACCGGGTTGCCTGGCGTGTACTTGCCCATCTCTACGTGTTCAGCAGAAGCCCGGGCGCTGCGCTCCGCGTCTTCGGCACGAGTCTGTCGCTACCGTTCCCATTCCCGCTCCCCCGGCCCCTCCCCCTGCCTCTCCCCCCCCCCCCCCCCCCGCCCCCCCCCTCCCCTCCCCCCCCTCCCCTCCCCCTCCGGCCCCCCTCCCCTCCCCTCCTTCACAATTACACAATATGAAAATACTCTCCCACTTCCCCTGATGGCGTCCGGAAGATATTCGGCACCCCCCCGCGTACTGTTTTTTTACACACAGGATTCCCCGGAGTTGGGTTTTCGCTTGTGTTTTTTTCTAAAATGCTGCTCTCGCTGAGGCGCCGGCCTCATTTCTGCTCCCGAATCGTTCCGAATCGTGCTCCCGCTGCAGCGTGGGCCTCATTTTCGGATCGGTGTTTGGCCTCCGTCGTTCAGGATGGCGTTCTCGCCCCAGCGCGGGCCTCTTTCTCGCGCGCCCATCCGCCCGCCACCACCGCGCCGCACCACCACCACCACCACCACCACCACCACCACCACCACCACCACCACCACCACCACCACACCAGCCCAGCACCACACCAGCACCAGCACCACACCACACCACCACCAGCCCACCCACCCCACCACCACCACCACCACCACCACCACCACCACCACCACCAACCACGCACACACGCACGCACGCACGCACGCGCACCACCACCCACTACGCACGCGCGCGCGGAGCCACAGGTCCGCTACGACACGCGTCCGCGGATAGAGAAAATCAGCGCCATGGTAAGGGATGGGAGGGAGGGGTAGGACGTCAGATATGACGCGAGCGCACCTAGCTTGTCCCCCCCCCCTCCCCTGCCTCTCCCCCCCCGCCCCGCCCCCCCCCAGCTGCCACCCCCCCCGCCCCCCCCCTCCCCTCCGCGGCGCGAGCCTCCCCGGGCGGATCGGCGCGCGCGCTGCGCGGAGAGAATGGTGGGCGCCCACACACGTGGCCTTCCAGGAGCAACCGGGGGCGGACGCACGGGAGGGTTCCGCCTTAGTGGGCCCTGGAAACGACAGGGCCGTTTTTGTTACCGGTTCCGTTTTGCCGTTTTTGTTGCCGGTTCCGACGCCTTTTTTTTACCGGTTCCGTCGCCGCTTTTTTGGACTGGTTCCGGCTCCGGCTCCAATCCCGGAGCCGTTTTTGTTGCCGTTTCCGGTCGCCTTTTTTGGCCGTTTCCATTTTCCAGGGAGTTTTTTCTGGAAGCGGTGAAAAAAACGGCCCTGCCGTTTCCGGGGCCCACAGAGGGTTCCGCACAGCAGTGTGGACCTCGGCGTCGGGCAGGGCGCGCCCGACGCGGCGCAGCGCGGCGCGCTCGTGCCAGGACGTCCTGCCGAGGCCGGGAGGGCCATCGAGGGGCGTCGACGGGGCAGGCGCCTCGTGGGGCGGGGGCGCGGCCGGCAGGGTGCACGTCGGCGCGGTCGCGCTCTGCCTGCTCCGGGGGCTGGGGCCGCCGCAGCGGGCGGGGGCGGCGCTGACACGGCGGGCGCCGAGCCCTCGGACGGAGTCGTCTGGCTCCGCTCGCGCGGTGCCTCGCGGAGGCGGGGGGAGCGCACGCAGAAGCGCCAGGGTCGGCGCCCCGGCGGGGGACGGAGGCGACGCGGCGCGCGTCGCTCCGACCGCGCACGGCTCCTCGGAGGCGGGGGGCAGCCTCCGCAGCACCTGGCATCGCTCGGGCGTGTGCGTGTCAAGTCCTCGGCGAGGAGCGCCGAGGAGCACCCAGGATCGCCTGGCGAGGAAGTGCTCGCGCGAGGCCGAGGGAGGCCCGGGGCATGGGCGCCCGAGCGACGGCACGACGCGCGCATCGCCGTGCTCGCGACGGGCGCGACGACGCGGACGACGACGACGACGGCCACGACGACCGCGGCGACGACGAAGCCGCCCACGGCGACGGCCACGACGTGCTCGTCGTCGGCGCGCCGCCTCCGCGCCTCGTTGTTCTCGCGCGCAGTGGGGCGGGCGGGGTGGCGCGAGCACCGCCTGCGCCATCGGGCTCCCCGACCCTGACGAGGGCGAAAGGGCAACATCGGGCCGGACGAAAGGGCAGGACAGGGAGAGGCAGGGCCACGACACCTGCTGCGTGCATCTGGCGTCGGCCCCGCAGCCGGGCCCAGTCCTCGATTGCACGGGCGCCTCCTGGCCCGCGCCAGGAGGCGCCAGGAAGACCAGCTGCGCGGGCTGAGTCTCTACACTCTCGCCCCCCCTCGAGAGAGGAGAGGGGGGGGGCAGGCGGGCCGGGGCTGGGCGAGGGGGTCACTCTGGCCGGCCTGCCCTGCGCGGAGGGAGGAGAGGGAGGGGAGGGGGGCCCCGAGCTGCGGAGGCGGCGCGGCACGGAGGGGAGGGAGGAAGCATGAGGAGGAGGAAGAGGCCTTCTCGGGCGCTCTTGGGGCCTCCTGGGAGTTTCCTGGGAGCCTCCGGAAGGCCCCTTGGGGGCTCCTCGGCCTTTGGAGGCTCCTTGGGAGGCGATTTGGTCGTGTGAGAGGGTCCCTGGCCCGTCAGACGCTGTCTTTTGGGGCTCTCGGCTCCTTGCAGGCGCTCCAGGGCCGTATTGGAGGCCATCTTGGGCGTCTTGAAAGTCCGTCTTGGGGCACTCTTGGGGCCGTCTTGGGGGCCTTCTGGTCCGTCAGGGGGCCACCTCAGAGGCCTCTTGGGCGCTTTGGGGGCCATAGTGGTGGCTTCAAGGGCCGTCTTGGGTACTCGGAGCGCCGAAAATATGCAAACGCCCAAATTCATCAGCAAAACTAAGGGGCAGTGATGTTGGTCTCTTCGGGCTTTCCTGGAGGTCCTCCTGGAGGCCTCCTGGGCCGCCGTGGAGGCCTCTTGGGCCGTCTTGGGCGACCTTGGGGGCCACCTTGGCCCATCTTCGGGGCATCTCGGCCGCCTTGGCGACATCTTGGGGCCGAGCGGCCCGTGCCCTTGCCCGCGTGCGCGCGAGCGGTGCGCGTGCGCGTGCGCTTCTTCTCGCCTCGCCTCGCGCCCCGTCGCCCCCGCCGCCCTGGCCGCCGCCTCTCCTGGCCCTTCGCTTGCGATCTCGGGCCCTCTCGGGGCCATCGTACAGTGGGAGGCCCATGCCCAGGAACACCCTGCTTGCCTCCAGGGTGCCCTGGGTTTCTTGGGTCTCGGTGGTTTCGCCACGGAGAGCGTGACGTCTCCACGCCAGAAATCGATGGACGTCCTGGGGTATCAGGGTTGGGTTTCTTGTGGAAGGTTTCTTGTGGACTGGAGGAGGAGGAGTAGGGGGAGGAGGAGGAGGAGGAGGAGGAGGAGGAGGAGGAGGAGGAGGAGGAGGAGGAGAGAGGATGAGGAGGAGGAGGAGGAGGAGGAGGAGGAGGAGGAGGAGGACAACGAGGAGGACGAGGAGGACGAGGAGGAGGAGAAGGAACCTCCACTGTAGCCGTGTTGGACGCCATCCTGGCCGTCTTCGGGCTCCTCTTGGGGGCCGTCGGGGGCGGGCTGGCCGACGGCTTGGGAAGGTTACGGGCCCTCCTGGAGCGGACAGAGCCTTGCCGACCGGATCTGGCGGAGCTTTCCGGGTGGCCGGCGGGCTGGGCCGAAGGCCAATAATCTCACCACCCACCAAACCACCCCAATCCAACTCGAAGGCCTCAATTTGCCATTCAGTTCCAGTGGGGGGTGGGGTCGGGGAACATCGAAAAAACACATGGAACCCGTACCCCCCCCCAACCCGAAATTCGGGTCAAATTCGGGTCTTCGGGTTGGGTTGGGGTAGTCTGGTAGGTAGTCATAATCGGGACGATCGAGACGGGCACGGAAAGAATGGTTGCAAAGACCGACGGCAGTTTTTGTTCATTGTAAACAGGACTCGCTGTCCGAGCCGCCGAGGACGCTGTTCACAAAAAGCCGCCTGCCCAACAGCGGCCGCTGTCGGTTTTGGACAACAGTGGTTGTTGGGCATTGTGCCCATGTTTTCCGTACCCATTTCGGGCGTCCAAACATTTGAAGTTTCTTCAAAGGACCAAGAATCATCGAAGATCCAGCACGCCGCGCACCCCTGTGGAAAGCCAACAGGGGGGCGGCAGACTTAGTGGCCGTCGGCCAGTCCCGCCATTGTGCCCAGGTTGAGGGGCCAGTGTCCTGTTGAATGCCTCTTAGTCTTTGGGTCTCTTGGGATGCCTCTGGGGGGCCTCTTGAAAGCCCCTCGTGGGGTCTCTTGGGCCCCTCTTTGGCCCCTCTTCGGCGCCTCTTGGTGGCGTCTCGGGGGCCTCTGGAAGAGGAGGAGGAGGAGGAGGAGGAGGAGGAGGAGGAGGAGGAGGAGGAGGAGGAGGAGGAGGAGGAGGAGGAGGAGGAGGAGGAGAGAGGAGGAGGAGGGAGGAGGGAGGAGGAGGAGGGGGGGGAGGGGGGGGGGGGGGAGGGGGCGGGGAGGAGGAGGAGGAGGCGGGGGGAGGGGGGCTTTTCGGGGGCATGTTGGGGGTCTTGGGCTTTTATCCTGGGG